AATTATAAAGGAAATTATAAAGGAAATTATAAAGGAAATTATAAAGGAAAAGTGATCAGTTTAATGGTACAAAAATTTAAACTTGTATCTCTAAAATAGTATAAGCCAGACAACAAACTGAGGATAAAATGTGACAAACTGGCAAAAGGATAATATAGCTATTATATAAAGTTGTCAGACAAGTTGATAAGAAAAACAATGAGACCCCACACACACAAAAAAAGGGAGAAAGAATAAAAACTAACCACAGAAAAGGAAATATAAAATGCTAATAAACAAATTCAAAAAGGCTCAAAGCCATTAGTAATCAAAGAAAAAATAAAAATTAAAACAAAATGTATTCATATAAAATAGCAAGAAATGTACTAATGTTAGTGGTTATCTCCAAGTGGTGCGGTTGTTTATAATTTAAATTTTCTTTATTTTATTTTCTATTTTGACAAATCACACGCATTAAGTTTCCAACAGAATAATTAAATTCATGCAATTTTCAGAAGATTTTGGGAACATATTGAGAAGTGAAAATAGCATAGTGATTAAGAGTTTGGATTCTGGATCAGCTAGACTTAGCTTCAAATTCAGTTTCAATATGTAAGTAATGTTGGGTGACAGCTCTCTGAACCTATTTCCTCAATTGTAAAATGAGGCTAATAGTATTTATCTATCTTATAAGGTTATGAGAATCAAATGAACTGATTAGCTCACAGGTGTCTTGTATTTAGCAAGTGTTTAATAACAGGTTCATCACTTAGTATTCAGTATCACTAGTAGTATGCCAACAAAATATATGCTGAGTAGGTTCAAAGTATTTTATCTATGTTCACACTGCACCCTCTGGTGGTTCCACAAAGAAAAGGCTCTAGGTTAGATACCTACCTAAGGTATCTATTCATATCCTTTGTCTATTGTTATTGTTTTTAGATTGGACATATTTTCCCCAGATTTGTAAGCCTCCTTTGTATTTTTTAAAGAAACTAGTTTTTGTCAGATGTTTTTCCCCAGTGTATATTTTTCTTTTGACTTGATGTATGGTATTTTTATTGCCACATACAAGTTTAAAATAAAGTGGTAGTCAAACTTAATCTTTTCCTCTATGGCTTCTGCGTTTTGCAGGACAACCATTTCTTGAAGAATTTATGCATCTGATATCTTTTCTAGTCAAGTGAATCACTGGGAGTTACCTTTTATTTTCGATTTCCCAGCCTTCTCTTACAAGGCCCTTAAGAATATCTTCATGGTCTTACCTCCTCTATTTTTATTTTTCTGCCTCTCTTTACCAGTTTCTTGTCTCAAAAAGCATAACAAGTAAATTCAAAGGAGTGCTATACATAGATATCCCAAGCCTTAAAATATTGATTCTCAGACTTAAGTGGTAGAATATCTAGAAGTCGACCATGAAACAATGTTTTACTAAACTTAATTAAATACAAAACTTTGGGTAAATTAGATAACAACTAACTTTAAATTATAACAAATCAAATAGTAGGTACAAAGGTATAAGAAAAAATTATGGAAGAAAAACTTAAAATTGAAAAAACTATATAAAATAAACCCGTTTTTATATTGAAGAGAGACAGCTACTATTGGATCATTTTTATTTCAGCAATCAAATACCAGACCTTTGAAAAGCCAGTACTCTCTGTGAGTATTTGAAAGCCATGGAACTGGAAAATACAGAATTAGGACTAGATTACGAATAAGACTGAAACAAAGGGGGCCTCTCATAGATTGGCTCTAACACAATGGCAAGTCCATGATTGTATTTTTAATTTTTTGAACCAAAGTGACTACATCACAAACAATTTAGAAAGGAAGGGGGAAAATCACTTAGAACTTCCCATCCTAATAAAATTACTGCTAATATATAGTATATTTCCCTATTTAGAAAATATTTAAAAAGTAATATAACAGCACTACTCATACATAAATTCTTGTTTCTTTTTGCAAGAATAGTCTAGCATAGTGGTTGGCTCTGGAATTAGACTGACCCAGTTCAAATCCAACTTTTCCCCACTTAATAATAAAAGTTTATATGGCTTTGGGCAAATTAATCTATCTAACCATAGATTTATTTTTCTGTAAAATGGCAATGGTAATAATTATACTATCAATCTTGTAAGAAGATGGCGAAAATTAGAGGCGCTTGGGTGGCTCAGTCAGTTAAGCGTTCCATTTTGTCTCAGGTCATGATCTCCCAGATCGTGGATTCAAGCCCTGAATTGGGCTCTGTGCTGACAGCTCTGAGCCTGGAGCCTGCTGCAGATTCTGTGTCTCCCTCTCTCTCTGCCCCTACCTGACCCATGCTCAGTCTCTCTGTCTTTCAAAAATAAACGTTAAAAAAAAATTTTAAAAGAAAAGAAGACAGTGAAAATTAAATGAGATAAACACAGTTAGTGCTCCAAGATGCCTACATTGAATTGAATCTCAATGAAGTAGATGAATTCAATACCTTTTGGATAGTTCTTTTTTGTGATATATTGCTAGTTCACTGCTTTCCTTAAGGTCCTCAATTTCCTTTGGTGTTACTTCATCATGCTGTGGTTAGCAAAAGAAATCACATTTTTAAAAATCACGTCAATGATCCGATCAAATGTTTTTTCAGAAAGCAAAAAAGTAAATTAGCAATATATACCGAGAGTCTTAACATTTTTATACACTTAGGTACATTCAATCTAGTTTGGTGTCAAAAACTTACAAAATTTTGTACACACACACAATTATACTATTTGTTTTTAGGGATATGTGATGAAGACCAGAATTGTTAAAATATCAGCTGTGGTTGTAATAGATAATAAAATGTGAACTAATTTTATTCTCCTATCAACTTTGCAAATTTTCCCTAATGTGGCCATATTACTTTTTAGTTTAGTGCCTGGGTGGCTCATTCGGTTAAGTGTCGGACTCTTGATTTCAGCTCAGATCATGATATGGTTCATGAGTTTAAGCCTCGCTTTTGCACTGTTAGTGCAGAACATGCATGGGATTCTGTTTTCCTCTCTCTCTGCCCACCCACCCCCACACATGTTCTCTCTCTCTCTCAAAAATAAATAAATATTTAAAAGACAAGGAAAAAATTTATTAATTTAAACTTAAAATTCTTGACTTGAAGATTCCTAGGCTTCCTATAAATTATAGATCAAAACTATGAAGTAAGCTGAACAAATTGTATTTTCCCTTCAAAATTAAAACGGAGTATTTAGCATGGAGTTATGAAAGAATCAAACATGTATTAAGGTTTTCAAAAAGATTATGTGAAAGTGACTCAGATACTGGTACCTATCACATAATATATTTACTTAATATGCCTTTGGGAAATATCTGTTTATGTCACAAATGTCCAAACAATAACATAACACTCCTCAAATTACTTACCAGATTTATGCATGTTGTTGCCATTCGATGAAGTACCTTCTACTTATATATTCTATGGTTACATTATTATAATTGCCTAATATTCAATATCAATCAATATCTTGAAAGAACAAGTCACTTATCATAAAATCATATAATTTCTAGAGCCAGTCATCAATACAGGCATGTTCTACTAATTTTTTCATAGAAAAATATTGGATTGGGTTGGAGCAGAGAAAATTTGGTTCCATTTTGCTAATATCTAGTATGTGAACTAAAACAGGCTTTTACCTTCTCTTTACCTCAGGTTTCTCATTTCTAAAACTGAATGATTAAATTAATGAGCTTTAAGGAGCTTTTAGCTCTAAAGTTCTGGCTTACTCAATAATAACTGTCAAATAACAACCATTCTATCACCACTCACGTCCCTGAAAACAATATGACAAGCCATGGATTGGATATTTTGATCCTTAGTACAACATAGCCAAAGACACTAAAATAACGGTTATTTTCAGATGATGACAACTTGGGGGAAAAAAACAATTTAATAAAAGGAATACAAAACATATAAGTTAATTGCTTGGCTCCAGAAATATAAAGATTTCTGAAAAATTCCAAACACTGAAAAGTTAAATAATACAGTAAGTAGTATATACCTTTCACCTAGATTCGCAAAGCATTAACATTTTTATCACTCTGCTGGTCCATTTGAAAATACTTGCAGATAATATGACATTTCACTCCTTAATCTTTAACTTGTGTTGTTGGGTTTTTTTAATGTTTATTTATTTTTGAGAGAGAGAGAGAGAGAGAGTGGAAGCGTGGGAGGGGCAGAGAGAAGGGGACAGAATCCGAAGTGGGCTCTGTGCTGACAGAAATAAGCCCAATGCATGGCTTGAACTTATGAACTGTGAGATCATGACCTGAGCCAAAGTCTGACAACTGACCCAAAGTCTGACAACTGAACCACTAGGTGCTCCTAGCTTGCCTTGGCTTTAAAAAGCATTCTTTTATTTTTATGATGCCACCATCACAATTAAGACAATTAACATTAAATATTACCTACTAGTCCATCTTTAAATTTTTCTGATTGTTCTCAAAATGTCTTTTTTACTTTTTATTTTAAAAATATCCAGAATCGGGGTGCTTGGGTGGCTCAGTTGGTTAAGCTTACAACTCTTGATTTCAACTCAGGTCACGATCCTGAGGTTCATCAGTTCGAGCCCTGCATCAGGCTCTGTGCTGATAGTGCAAAGCCTGCTTGGGATTCTCTCCCTCCATCTCTCTCTGCTCCTCCCCTGCTCGTGTTCACTCTCTCTCAAAATAAATAAATATTTATTTTTTAAAATATCCAGAATCCAATCAAGGTTTATACATCACACTTGGCTGTATATCTCTTGATCTAGAACAGTGTTCCTGCTTTTTTATTTTTTATGGCATTGTTTTAAAGAGTCTAAGCCAGTTAGTTATTTTGTGATATGTCTCACATTCTGGAATTCTCTGAGTGTTTACTCATAATTGGATTAAGGTTAATTAGGTTAAACATTTTGAATAAGAACACTTTATAGAAAATATTGTATACTTTTATTATATCACCTCAAGCTGAACATAATGAGAGGTTATTCCAATATTGGTGATGCTAAATTTGACCAGTTGTTTAAGGTGGTATCTGCCAGATCTCTCCATTGTGAAGGCATATCGCTTACTTTTGTAACTACTAAGTAATCTGTGGGGTGATAATTTGAAATCATGGTTTTAACATCCATTAATGACCCTGCCTAAATCAATTATTTTACTGGGGGTGGTAAAATGGGGATTTTATATTCTACCAATGTTTCTATATTTAAATTTTTTTAAGTTTTATTTGTTTTTTGTTTTTTGGGTTTTTTTTTGTTTTTTTTTTTTTTTTGAGAGAGACAGAGACAGTACAAGCAAGGGAAGGGCAAAGAGAGAGGGAGAGAGAGAATCCCAAACAGGCTCTGTGCTGCCAGCGAGGAGCCAGACATTAGGCTCAAAGCCATGAACCATGAGATCATGATCTGAACCAAAACCAATAGTCAGACACTCAATCAACTGAGTCGCCTAGGCGTCCGTGTATTTATTAGTTGCCATTTCATAAAGAAGTTTGCCTTATTCCATGTTTTCTTTCCTTCCTTCCATCACTCCTTCCTTCCTTCCTTTATTTCTCTTCCCACCTCATTTCCTCTCTTCCTTCTGTTCTTATTTTCCTTTCTTTATTCCTTTGGAGCATCACTACTGAATCATGGATTCTTTTAAATTTAATTCATTCCTGTCATTCTTTTTGATGCTCAAATTACCCCAAATTTGGCTATTGCATAAAAATTTTGAAGTAAGTCAAAAGCATAGGCAAATTTGAAGCAGAATAGCAAAAGCTATAAAACAATCAATTTTCAGTTTTGTACACATTTATTGACAGGTGTTATTGAAGATATTTAAGAAATGACACAACAGAGGGATTAGTAAATCAGAATCTATGCTGGCAGTAAGGGTGCCTAGATGGTTCAGTCAGTGGAGTGTACCACTCTTGATCTTGGGGTTGTGAGTTCAAGCCGTGTGTTGGGTGTAGAGATTACTTAATAAAATAAAATAAAATCTTAAAAAAAATTAAAAGGAAGAATTATCTATTCTGGCCATAAAAAACTGGGTAAATACTGTGCACCTATTACTCCCTTAACATTAGTGATAGAAGCAAATTTTCAAATTTTTTACGTGAATAATACAATAAAAATATCTCAATTTCATCAATGTGCCAGTGTAAAAACAATGTCAGACTAGATTATATTCAATAAAAGCATGTCCTTTAAATTCTATAATCTGGATCATTGACATTAATATGTCACAAGTAAACATTTTTAAGATTACATTGCTTTAAAAATTTTTTGAAACTGTAGATTCTAACCAAATACCTTTATTTACTCTTACCTTTTCTATCTGAAAATGTTGATCTTGTTCCCAAATAAAATTACCAAGTTTTCTTCTTATTTCTGTGGTAAGAAAAAAAAAATCCAATACTATTTTTTAAAGTAACTTTGTAGAATTTTCTGAAATTTACCTGAAGTCTGAAATTTCTAAGCCAGCATTATTCCATTTGCATCAAACTCACCCAAGGTAGTTGTTTAAAATGCAGATTCCTATTGAATCAGATGAATGAGGGGGAGCTCAGGAATTTGCATTTCTAACAAACTCCCCAGATGGTTCCAAAGCATTATAAGAATCATTATTGTAAACTTTTTCTGCTGGAGTATAGGTCTTCATTAGATGTTTGTATCTTTAGGCCAACCATTAATAAAGAAGACAATCTACAGTCAAAATAAAAGGTATAAAATTCCTAAATTTGTAGAGTAGAGGTCCTCAAGAATTCAATAATTTGGTAAAAGAGGAGTGGAAGAGAAACATGTCTAGTGGGCATAGTAGTGTGTGTGTGTGTGTGTGTGTGTGTGTGTGTGTGTGTGTGTGTGTGTGTTTTAAAAGTTTATTTATTTTGAGGGGGGAGGGGCAGAGAGAGAGGAAGAGAGAGAGAAGCTCAAGCAGGCTCTGCACTGTCAACGCAGAGCCCAACACGGGGCTCAAACCCACAAACCATGAGTCATGACATGAGTCAAAGCCAAGAGTTGGATGCTTAACCGACTGAACCACTCAAGTGCCCCTAGGTCACATTCTTAATGATCTCAAAAGTTTCCATAGTAGCCCACTTGCAGACAAAAAGGTAACATCCCTCTAGACCTATGTCGTCCAATATAGTTGCCACTGTACTAGCTATATATCGCTACCATATTGAAATGTATGGCTAGTCCAGATTGAGATGTACTAAAAGTGTAAAATAAAGTCTGGATTTCAAAGATTTAGCATCAAAAAAAGAATGTAAATATCCCAATGATTTTTTATTTGTTATATATTGAAATAATATTTTAGATACATTAGGTTAAATAAATATATTAAAATTAATTTCACCTATTAATTTCATCTATTTTTATTCACTGACTTCTTATTTATACTAGACAATTTAAAATCAATATGTGGCTCACATTTGCATCTCACACTTCTACTAGACAATACTGGGCTAGGTAGATAATAATGTATACTTTTCAATCTTAAAAAGGAGCATGTTTTCACTGAAAACAGATTTCTTTAATTTAAATACATTTTAATATAAGATGCTAAACTCAAAGACAGGAGTAATAATTTAAAATCAGGTCAGATAGTCATTCTGTAATATAAGCCCCGTGAAGGTGGATATTCACTGATTTGCACAGTTTTTGAGTAAATTAGTTCGCCTATCCAGTCATTAATTTATTTGTATAAATAAATTATTTTGGAACAATTTATTGTTATAACCAGCTCTCACAAGGACATCAACTGTGAAAGGAATCCAATCTTTGGGGTTTCTAAAGCTCTTCTATAGAAATCTTTTTCAAGTTGTTTTGTTTTGTGCTTTGTTTTAAATAGACTGCTTACTGGGACTTTGTTCTAGCTTCAGTCTGTCTTTCTAAGGACAGACACACATATATCAAGAATTGGGTAATAATGCAAGACCTAAAATGGAATATTTAAGGTTACCCCACAAAAGATAGGGAAATGATGTTCCAAGCAGGGAGTACTAAAAGAACCAATCTCAGAAGCAGTTTATTAACTTGCCCTTTATAGGATTGCT